GGGGGGGAAGAAGTCTGCAGTGTCAAGTCAACTTCCTACCACAGTCCAAAGACAAAGCAACTGTGACTGCTGCTACATTCAGCAATGCTGCAAGAGATTTCCAGTTCACATTCCATGTAGCAGCACAAGTAATTATTCCATAAACCAAGCCTGCTTTTCATCAGCCCACCCAGAGGCTGACCAAGGAATCTGCCAAGAAGGGCTGTCGGAGCAGGGATCAATTTGCATAAATTTAATTAAATGGCATACTTTCAAATGCCATGCAAATCAGAAGTGCATAACACAAGAGAGACAGCAAACGTAGTTAAGGATAGAGAAAAGCAAACAGTAGGCTTGTGGTTACTCAGCGGTTATATTTATGCCCTAGAAGGGGCCTGGGATCTTTGCTCTGACATTAAATTCTCAAGAGCTGTATGTTAATAATGGAGTAATTTAGGGAAGACATTCTTTGGCAAAGCATATGAACCTACGCTTTTGAAAACCAACATAATTCTTAAAACTCTGGAGATGAAGATTCAAAGAATTTAGGTCAACGTTCTCACACCCAGGACTCTCGTATCAGATTGTTTAAACACATGGCCCTTTTCCAAGAAAGCCTAAAGTCTAGTAACTATTAGCACCCTGAGAAGCAATTTTACCCACTTATCCTCTTTACAAACATACCTATGTAAGTCTTTTGAGATATTTTTAGGTGCCTAGCCTAGGGTTCTGGTTTGAAAGTCTGGATCTAGAAAGATGTAAAATGCAAGCCCTACAATCCAACAGGCCTGCGCACAGGTGTCTCTGTAAAAATAGAGGTCTGTAGGAACACGGAATAATTCACCTTATAAGCTTGCATGAGCATGTGGATGACTCCGGGGGCACCATGGCACCAGTGAACCAGTCTGTCAGTCTCGTTGCTCAGTGACGACGGGTAATTCCCAGATCTGAATTTTTTATGACGCACATAGTCAATGCTCGGCTTCACCAGCTCCGCCAGGGTCTCCTGGTCCACATTTGCAATTGGCTGAAGAAAACATAAAAACACCCCACCACCAAAACCATAAACAGAAGTAGCAACAAATTGCGTACCAACACTTAATTCTATGATCCATTTTCAAGTATCCCACATACGTGCCCTTGATCCAAATACTCTGAATCACTTCATACAGATTTAATTAATGTCTGCTCACAATACCCTTGTGAAGAGCATTTTTTACAGCTACTGTAGAGACAAAGAAATTGGGGCACCGAGTTGTTGCCTGCCTTACTGGAGATGACACAGAAAGACTATGGAAGCACTGAGAACAAAATATGGATTTCAAGACACCCAGGCCTCTCTTTATACCTTAAAATAGAGAAGACACTTACAGGAGAAAGATGTTTTCATAGCTACATTGTTCATAATACACACTTCAAACACATTTTTTTATTTAAAATAACTAGCGTAGACAAACCTGTCCTATTTCCCAATAAATGAACAAGAGTGTATGTAGGGGCATGCCTGGCAAAGGTTTATGAAGGTTACAGTTTTCCATCATAAGCAAAATTCCCTGAAATGATGGGCTATAAATCTGCATTTCCAATTTCAGAAGCAACAGCTACTTCTCCAGGTAGCTAGACATTGTTGTACTACAAACTCATTCTTAGATTGCTTTTCTGAATTTTCATTCTTATTTTTTCTATTTAGTTTACATCCTTACCAAAAAGAGAATATATCCATTGATCTGCACGCTCCTTGTAAGTAAAGGTTTAGAAGCTGAGTATGTGTTGGGTCTGCAGTTGTTCCTTGTGGGCATTCCCTGCTCTATCAACGCATTTTACGGTATTTTCTTAACAGAGCTGTCTATTCTTATACAGCCTACAAGGACTTGGGGGGACTGGTGTATAAGAAGCTCAACACGAGCCGGCAATGTGCGCTTGCAGCCAGAAAGCCAACCATATCCTGGGCTGCATCAAGAGCAGCGTGGCCAGCAGGGCGAGGGAGGGGATTCTGCCCCTTTACTCCACTCTGGTCAGACCCCACCTGGAGTCCTGCATCCAGCTCTGGAGCCCCCAGCACAAGAAGGACAGGGATGTGTTGGAGCAGGTCCAGAGGAGGTCCATGAAGATGATCCGAGGGCTGGAGCACCTCTCCTACGAGGACAGGCTGGGGGAGATGGGGCTGTTCAGCCTGGAGAAGAGAAGGCTGCGGGGTGACCTTAGAGCAGCCTTCCAGTACCTGAAGAGGCCGACAGGGGTGGTATCTCTCCATGCTCCATGATCACAGTGAGTGAGCTGAACACCCCAGTTTGTCTTATCGTCAGAAACACTGGAACAGGCTGCCCAGAGAAGCTGTGGCGGCCCCCTCCCTGGCAGTGTTCAAGGCCAGGTTGGGTGGAGCTCTGAGCAACCTGGTCTGGTGGAAGATGTCCCTGCTCAAGGCAAGGAGGGTTGGAACCGGATGATCTTTAAGGTCCCTTCCAACCCAAACCATTCTATGATTCTATGATTTCTGGAGTTCTTGCAAGATGTGCGAACAACTGCAGGAATTGGAGCCTACAGGAGCCGAATAACAGAGCTTATTTTTTTTTTTAAAAACTTGTCTTTGTTGCTAACTCAATGCCATACAATGTCACTGTTTCCCACCAGCTCCAGCACATTCGCATCCAATAGGTGAGCGCACTGCCACAATTCACAGCCCTACAGCCAAATGAAGGAAGACTCTCAATAGGCATATTTTCAGCAGCCTGAAAAAAAAAAAAAGCCTCTATTTCACCTCAGCCAGAAAAACTTTGCCAGGCTTCGACCTACCTGGTCCCTCAAGCGAACTCTACCTCTGCACTTCTCTGAGCAGAACAGAAACCCTCACGCTGCTAATCAGAAGTCTACCTGAATACAGATCAGCGTATCATGAAGAACACCCCAGAGCTGTTCAGCCCTCACACAGAGGCTGACCTGTGCGGTGGGGAGGCTGTGGGGCAAGCTTTGTTTCAGGGCTCTAATTTCACACTGCACCGCTGGAGCAGAAGGCAAAGTGGATGGGCACCAGCAATGAGTGCCTTCAGTCCTGAGCTATGCAAGGCAAGCCCAGCCCAGCCGAGCATGTCTGTCCTTGGGAGACAAATCCAAGAAGAGCAGAGCTCTTCAAAAACCTCCTTCTCCCCTTGTGCTTCTGAGAAGATCTGAGTTAGAAATGAGTTCTTTGCCCAAGCTGCTGAGGTTCTCAGCACCTGCTTCCAACAGCGAAAAAGTAACCTACAGGTACATGTCATAGAATCACAGAATCATAGAATGGTTTGGGTTGGAAGGGACCTTAAAGATCATCTGGTTCCACCCCCCCTGCCATGAGCAGGGACATCTTCTCTCTGGCCAAAAGCAAGCATATGCAAACAGACATTTTTACCTCAGGGTTAGTGAAAGGGACTATGATTAGAGATTCCCTAGCTAGCACTTCAGAAGTCCCCCTCTACCTCCTCGATGAGTTATTTGACACTGCTGAGCGCTTATTCTTCCAGCAGTCTTCTGTAAGTAAATCCAGTAACACATGCTTCCTCATAAAGGTGTTATACAGAAATGATGATCAGTGACCTTCACATCTCGGATTCTCAGATGCTATGCTGGACGCCCTTTTTTTGTTATCAAACAACCACTCAACAAACCAGCTCATGAATTCTTTGCTGAAAATACAGAAAAACTCTCATTTGGCATGGGAGGGATGGGGAAAAGATGGACTCCAATATGCCATCTTACTCTGCAGTGGATGACTCAACTCTGTGTGACTCAATATTTAATGTACAGTGAAAAGACAGTAATCTAATGCTGCATAAACAATGGCTTTGTGGTAATTCTTAAAAGCAGCAATTATATGTAAAGGAAAAGATATTTACAATTTTAACATGTAGACAGAGTAGCTTCTGCTTAAAACAAAAAGCACTGTGCAATTATTTCTGCCATCAGCCTTGAATAGTAAACCAAGGATGAAGCCTTTCAAGAGGCTTCCTTAAAGGACCAGATGTTTCTCAGAGAATCTAGCAGAGACAGGGACGGAAAAACAGAAGCCAGGAAGACAAGGGAGCCGGAAGGGGGTGGACCACCTTACTGAAAATCAGCGGGAAGTGAAAATGAAGTAAATCACAGTAAATCAGAGCAGCCTGAGGCCCCAGTGAGACGGCCACCGCAGAAAATGGCTGCAGTGAGGTTAAGACACGCCGCCAGGTAGCACAGCAGTGGCAATCTCCACAGCAAAGTCAGCTGCTTTAGCCCCAGCTACTGGTAGAATTGCTGTGAGCTCATCTGAAACAGATGGGGAGAAGTCACAGCATCTTTTGCAAAGGAGGAACGGCTGAGCAGTGGCAACACAAAATACCGGCTCAGTGACTTCTGCAGTGAACATTTGTACGTGGCTTCAGGCTGCCAGGACATGCAATCCTTCCATTTGCCTGAAGGACAGTTATTCTGCATGAGCTGGTAAGAAAACTAACATTTATAACGATGCACAGACTGGCAGCACCTTTGAAAACCAGAAAAAGGCACAATACAAATTTTGCAGCTCTATGGCCATCTTCTATAATGAATCTTAAGGCTCTTTTTCCAGACTGTACAACAGAAATAAGATTTACAGGTCTGCTCTGAAAAACATCATAATCCTATTAGAGAATGTCAGGGCAGGGGGGAATGGATCAGAAGTGTGAGGAAGATGAGGTATACAGAAGAGAGGAACCTCACTCAGGACAACAGAAAGAGGAGAGCAGGGGTCATAAATGCACTAAGGAACATCAGTTTTCTGCGGGAGAGATAGGGGGGGATAAGGAAGAGGAAGAACATCTAAAGAATAAAAGCACAGTGAAGACTAATGTGTGATTAAGGATAGTCTTCCAAAAGACAGTGAAAAGAAAAAAAAAAAGTCACTGGGGAAGAGAGGAAGGGCATGGAGGTCATGGAGGACAGGAGGCACCAGCGATGCACTCATTTAAAAACAGCAAAAAATTGAAGAGTGATGGACGGTGAGGAAGTGAGTATTTAGCTGGTCTAGCTGCAGGCACCAGAAGAAGTACGAGGATGAGGGAAGGCATCTCACTGTCTCTGTTGAGGATAGGAAAGTTCCGCTCCTGGAACACCAGTACTCCGCACCACAAATCAAGGATTAATTCACTCTAATGTGAGGATATCAGGGTCATGGTTTTCTTCTGCTACCAGGGCCTGAGCCAGCATCTCTGCAAAGTTCTGTGCTGCAGAGTCTAACTCCAAATTGTGAGACCCTGACCCAGCACAACAATGCATGTGCATGAAAGATAAGATCCTCTGATGCAAAACAAGAAATTGCTGGTGTTTCGCCCCACTCCACAGAAGCTGCTCGTACCTGCATGAGCATGTAATAGATCCCAGCCACTCCATGGGCCGCTCCAACATACTGCTTCCTGTGCCACTGGTACAACAGAGGACAACGGTCTGCTTTCCGTTCCTCCTTTGAAAAGTTCTTCCCCGATTCAATAATAGCATCTATTACCTAAGAAAGAGAACACATCCCTTCTGTCTCGCCTGCTTTGATTCAGAGGGTTTTGCTTTGTCATGACTAAAACCACAGTAAAGCATAAGCCACAATAAACAGTGACTGCACAATGATATTCAATTCATTTGGACCTGAGTGTTGAGGTAGAAATGGAATTTTTCCTAAATCATCGAATCACATTTTTAAGAGTAGAAACTTAATATATAAATATTTCTAACCACTTTTTTCCAGGCCTGCCTTTTCTGATTCTGGTATCTGCAGAACAGTTGAGCATTTTCCCCCACACCGAATTCTCCTCCTTTTCACTCAAACACATCTGTCTTAAGGTTTTCCAAACAATTTCTCATCCTCAAATGCTCCAAAACTGGTTATATATTAAATCCATTTCCATGGCTGGCCACGGACCCACATACACTGGGCTGTCTCAGTCCCAGCTGGGCAGCAGGGAAAGGGGGCAGAGATTAGAGGGACAGATGAGACTGAGCTCCCAGTTCTAGGTCCCTCTCCTCTCCAGCATCCCTTGAACTATGTGAAGGAGTGATTCCATTTCGACCTCACCGATGCTGTGGCACTGGAGAGAGAAAAGCATCTTACCTCTTTGATAACTGACTGTGGGACAGTCTCCGGGCTGATTTCAGTATTCAAGTACAGCAAGGCATACAGGTAACCTGCTCTGCCATAAAGCAGCTCATCTGGAAGATCAGCATCTGTGCTTATGACTGTCCTTTGGAGCTGCAGCAACCTGCATCAGACAAGGAAGGCGAGGAGAGAGAGCGTCTTCTCTACCGACCATACTGGACTACGTATTGCACAAGCCATCAATCAAACCAGAAGCAAAATGAGTGCCAAAGCCCCACCACGTCTCTTCAGTTATCCAGTTCAACCAGCTGCCAGGTTTACACACACGAGTGCTGCATGTCTGCCATCCCTGACAGACAGGCAGCTCGGAGCCAGAGCCAGGAGAGTGCAACTACCAGGTTTTTGTGCAGACAGAAACGGATGTGTGGGTGCAGGGTGGGGGTTGGATGAGGCTGGAGAACTACTCCAACAAACAGGGACGACCACCTGCAGCTTCTGGGAACTTCATCTAAGCAAGGACTCTCAACTGTAGATGTGTAAGAGGGAAATAACAAAAACAAACAAAAAAACCTAACCCCACCGTTCAGTACTAGCCCTCCCTACACAACACATTGTCTCAAACGTTCAGCAGCTCAATTTTGAAAAGGGCATTGCTACTACGCACCAGTGTTTTGCTTGCCTTTAGTGACGGAAAAAACCTTGGGCTGGCCATCGCAACTCTCATCGCTCCAGAGACTCCCTGCTATTACTCCATCAGTCTGCACTAGAACTGAGGTAGAGCAGAGATCTGTTTTCCTGCCCACTCCCTCCCTGTCTCTTCCCATCTTTTGTGATTAAACTGGCACCTAGATGAAACCATGGAGATGATCACATTTTCATTTGGGGGAGGGGAAAAGACAATCTGGTTTAAGACTAAACTCAATTCCCAGATCCCCCCAACAGCTACTACTCCGCAGAAATGTCAGCACTAACATCATGCTGGAGCAAAAACACTGAACCAATATGGCTTGTTTATGCTGTCACTGCTTAATACTAGGGAAAAGCCACTCACACACACACAAAAAAATAGTTTTATTTTATCATTCCTTTCTTGGAACTGCTCTTTAGACTTCGAATTAAATTATTTTCTGTTAAATTGTCCACTGTTAAGTTTTATTATTCAAATTATACAACTAGACAGCTACAAGGTAAAAAGTTAAAAGTGCAATCATAGATTACATTTTGACATGTATAACGTACCACTCAGCTGGTATCATGAATTTATTTGTAAACAAGAAAAGGATGAAAACAAACAAATAATCAAACAAACCTCCTTTTCAGTCTCCCTCTGCGAAATGACTTTCCAAGCAGAAGCAAGACTAAAAGTTTTATTGTTAATCTCGTGTTGCTCTACTCATGCTTCACGCCTTACAGTAACGCTGCTTTCCTAGCTGCTTCCAAAATGATGGACACCCAAGTTTACCGCCAGTTCTAAAAGCAAAAAAACCCAAACCTACCACCCGTTTCAAAACTGAAATATTTATTCAGGAACAACAGCAGCGATTAATCACACTAGGATTCTAGATTAATGAGAGACCAATTGTATTTCCAAATATAAACCAGAATGGATGATGAGGACACAAGAGTAGTCCGCAAATTCTGGCAGCCTAAGGTGTGCTGCTGGACTGCTAGCAGGTGGATTGCTGGTGCCGAATGCAAACCCCACAGGGCTCCAGTGCTTCCAGTCCTTGCTGGGACAGAAACCAGCTCCGTACCAGCAAAGGGACAGTCAGGTCTCCAAGCAAGCTCTACATCTAAATGGGACTTCTCAAGACATTTGTTACACTTAGATTACTTTGAAAAGGGCCTGGAATTTTTTCAGCTTTCATATGTTCTGACCTAATTAAAGCCCTTGCCTTTGATGGTTCAGCAAATACCTCCTCATTGTTTTATAAATCTTTGTGAGATATCAACCCGATGTACCATGTTCCTCTCCGTATGTTTCTGGATCTCTGCAGTGTATGTGTTTTGTAATGAGTCCGCAATTAGACCCACGCTTTACAGGAAGCATCGCATACTGCACCAGCACCACATATTGCCAATGACAAGCGTGCGGCTTTTGTTAAATGTCACTTCAAAGTGACAAAACCAAAACGTGCACGCACTACAGATATGTCCAGGACATCCTGTCCTTACACTGAGAGAGGACTCGAGATAACCCGCTAAATATAAATCAAGCGTAAGCCAGCTTTAATGAAGTTAAATCTTATTTTGTGTTCCTCTACTGAAAATGTATCAGGGGAGAAAGTGTCTCCATTTTTTAATCCTGTCCTCCAAAACTCCACTTGCTAATGTTACTGAACCAATGTTCTCTACAAATGAAGGGCATGCCTTTTTCCACCACCAACCACTTACTTGGCAACACACTCTTTAGATTCACTGTCATTTTTCAGCTTGTGATAAACCACTGCACCCACTGCCAGGGGCCCAGCATCACCACAGAGGAAAGTAACTCTTCTGCCATTCAGATTGCGCAGGATTCTCTTCACATAATCAAGAGACCGCTGCAAATGGCTCTGGTTTTTCGTGACGCGATACAGTTGCAGATATAAGAGGGCAATACCTGGAACAACCACATGAAAAAGAGTTTCATTTACTTTTCCTTCTAAGTGTCTCATACTTGCTTCCTTAGTGCCTCTGACCCAGTAACTCAAATGCAAATAGGTATTTGGGCAATTACAATGTCTCAGTCAAAGGTCCTAGCTCATGCAATGGGAAGGCATCAGGCCACCTATTTTGATTACATTTCAATTTGGATTGTGACAAAAGTAAAAAAAAAATAATCAGACTGAAGCCCAACAACAGAACCACAATTTGCAAAGAATGAAGAAAATTCATGACATAGGCACCAATGCTTGGTGAAGAAATCACGGAAGACTCAAAAACTTGGGCTAACAAGCATGTGTACGACCAAGGACATTGACCATGCGATACTCATCTATTATATGCAATAAGTGACTTACTTTCCACCTTGACTTGTAAAACGATCTTTTAATGAGTTTTTGGATTCAACTTGTCAAGTCCTTTATAACCCTTATACTTCACAACAAGATTACGAGCTTCTACAAGTTAAGCTCGTTTGTAAAAGCCGGAAAGTAAACAAGTCCTCAGAGAATGCCTGACGGTAATGCCAAGTGTCACTCCATTAAACTCATTACATTGTTTTCCATTAAAACAAAACTAAACCTTAAAAATTGCAATAATATAGACTGAAGAAAGTGATACAAATCCATCTAAGTGGATGTTTACTGGCCCGTTGCAAGCATACATGTGCAGAAGTAAAACATCTATCTCCAGAACATACCACATCTCAAACTCCTGTTTCTGAACAGTGCGAGCATTCTGCCGAGCCACGACTGAAGTGGAGAACACAAAAGGCCCACTTAACTCCAGAGAGAGGTGGCCCAAGGAGTTTGAGAAGAATTGCACCACAAGAGTGCTGGTATATCCTCAGATGTTCTCTTGACCAGCTTTGAACAGGCCTTTCCAGGTCAGTCCCAGCGGAGAGCTGCAGAGCTTGGTTAGCCCAATTCAGTGGTACGGGGACTTGCTGGCTACCTCCTAGGACTTCTGTAACCCTTTTTGATGCTGCAAATGCATAGATATCTGGGCTTGATCAAAGGATGATCAGAAAAGTAGCCATGAGGCCTGGTTCATCCAATCCTTCCTTGTGCAACACCCTTAAAATGACTCCTCAAAGATGTCTGGCACACACAAAGACTACTTGTATATGCAAGACGGACTCTAACAGTACATGCTCCAAGATTTTAAAGATGTTTCACAAAGTACAAGCCAATGCTCAGGCCTGCATTGCCAATAAGATTTGTCTAGACTTGGTACATAACAAGCATGGCAGTTGTTTTCAGCATTGCTGTTACCTTCTGGTTTCCACACTAGCAAGATTCTGCAAGGAGCAAGTTTGAGGAGAAAGTATTTGCACTAAGTATTTTGAAAGAGAGATAATTAAGTATTTTTATTCAGAGTCATTGCCACAGGAGCCTTGAAAGAAGTCTGCAACTTGGAATAGATGTAGTTGGTGATCCTGCTACAGGATGGAAAAACCCCACTATCGTTAAACTGCGTCACTTGTTCATCTATCTTCTTGTTTCAGCTAATGATGGCTGTGTTACTTTTAGCTTCTGACTCATTTTCAGCATGTTCTGGTTTATCAGCCGTAACTTCAGTTGTCAGTCACAGTGTCAGAACACTGCTCCCCGGGAGCCCTTTCGTAATGTCAGTGCGAAAATGCCCACCACTAGAGATCTTCTGCACTCGCTTCTGCACTCACTTTCAGACCTTGAAACACATCTACCTTTTAAGTTTGAGTTGTCTAAAACTTCCCCACCCATCCACCCACAGCACCATCTGTACCAAAATATCAAGAAGAAAGCAAAGAAATTTTACCCTTTCACTGCCAGAATTAAGCCTCACCAGGGGCAAAGCCTGGAGAGTTCTTCCAAGCTGCTCCCTCTCAAAGATAAAAGAATAGATCTCCTCAGGGCACATTTCAAGCACGCTGTGCTAAAAGCATAAGTATGTCTGAAGTGTGAGCTAGACAGAGCAGGAATAGAATATGCCATTGTAATAGCAAAGTGGCACTTAAAAGGCCAAGATGGAAAAGTGTTTTGGCAGCTTGAAGTGCAGTGGCCGCATCAGGTTTGACAACTGCAGACTCTGCCTAAAGGATCAGCAGGGCTCATTCACATTTGGACAGCATCAGTGATGCAATGCTAAACGAATGACAGTGCCTAGCAATAACTAGCACTTGCACATGCCTGTTGATCTCCACGCACTTTGCAATCTCGCAACTCCACCTCCACACTCCCCCTCCTCACACGTTCACTTTACCATTTTTGTACAGACAGAGCAAGCAGAGCCCAGCTATTCATGTTCCAGATTTCAGGATTTCTGACAAGCACAGAACAGCTCCTCACCCCCAAAATGATGAGGAGATGCTGTTACCATCAGACAACTGCTAACTATCAGGTAGTTGAACAGAAAAAGGTGAAAATAACCCATTTTAAGAAAATCTTAAAGAAACTAGAGGTAAGTCAAAAGAAGGAGTAGCCTTTGAAAATCCACTCCTTTCGTGAGATCTCCATATACAAAAGCCAATTATCTCTCTGTAACTAGATCCTTTGTCCACTGAAACCAGTGCAACTCATTCCAGGCAGAAGGGACCAAGGATCCAGAGTTCAAAGAAACCAACTCACACAAATGCTTGTATCATAGTATTTCTGCTGCTCCTGTGAGAATACCAGAACCTCCTCCCATAAATAAACCCAGTTAGACCATTTAACCAACAGCTTCATTCAAATTCTAGCTTTCTCACCAGTCCAGCCAGTATAGGCAGAGCAGTCATGTGGATCTGCCGTCTTCAGCCCTTCCTCCATTTGTTGCAGAAGGTCCTTTATTTTTGTCTGGATCCGTTTTGAGAACCGAGCACTGACCTGAAAACAGAAGACAGGAGAAAAGGAGCAAGTCAGAAAAGGAAAGAATCCAAGAAAGCAAGCCGTCTGCTCCACTTTCTTGTTTGGAATAAAACAAACAAAAAATAACTAGGGAATAAACAGCACATGCAGCGATCAGCAGCGTCAAGGTGGTTCATCTTAAATGTGTCCCACGTAATGCATTCTGATTACATATTAGAATAAGTTACTAGTACCTACATTAAACAAAAATTATCTAGGTATGCTTTAAATTCACATGAAGAGCAGCTATGGACCCCGCGACAGTATGTAACTACATGCTGCCTCTTATCTCAGGCTCTGTATTAACAGTAAGCAAAACTTCTCTGAGCTGAGTAAAAGGTGAATAAAAGCAAACAGAAGGCAACCATCTGCTGCCACTCCCTGGGTCAGCACTCCATTCCGGGTGCTGGTACCGAGACCACGTTCTGAACATGTACAGTGAGCCTGCAAGCCCTGTGTGGCTTGCTCTCCTCACAAGGTCTCTGCACACCCTTTGTGGCACTATGGGGCAGAAAATAGCTGAAGGCAAACAAATGCTCATACTCGAGACAACCAAGTCAGTCAAGCCACTGTCCTTATCGATGTCCTCAATCACATCTTCCATGATGTATTTGCATTTTCTTCCTAAATCCAAGACTCCTTCTGATGTCCCAGTTTGTGATCACCACATGGAAGGCAATTTGCTTAGACATAAAATGCCCTTCCTCTTGCTTCTTGCTGTCTCCTCCCCACAGAACAGTACTAGGAGCAACACGCTTTATCATGAGAGTAGGTCATTAAATGCAGTGAACAACCACCGAAAAGAATGAGCTAGACACAAACAAGATGAGTAAAAGCAGCTTGTTAGCTTCAGCTCATGCATGAGGATGAAGAGACAAGCCTTTGCTTGCTTTTATTTTTGACCAAGAAAAGTTTACATAAATGCTATATATGAAATATAGCACAGCATGTATTACACTTGCCACCATTCTCTCTCATTACACATACTGTAAAAGACAATACATTAAAGATTATTCCTTAAGCGTATGGAATGTGGAAACAGTCAGTTAACTAGAATTTACTGCCCTATTAACTTCCACAGGAAAGACTACTCAGGAAGTCCCTTCACAGGACAAGTCTACGTTTGCGTGGGAACATCAGAAACAATGCTCAAAACTGTTGTAGTTTGGTGGTTCCCCCCCCCCCCTATAAACAGTCTCACTTATTAATCAGCTTTTCCTGTTAACACATTTATTAAAAGCTCTTTTATATGTTTTAACAGAGCCTAAGGTCTAGGTTTACTTATAGAACAATTTAACTACTATGGAGCTAAAGGAGGAGAAACAAAAGAATGTCTTCCCTTCCTGGGCTATAGGAAAAGCTTTATCATTAGCAGATAATTGCATCACTGTGAAAAAATAGTATTGTACAGAAACACCCAAAAATATTTTCTGAATGTGCTTTTCCCATCACCTACAGAAAGCCCCAAGCATACATCACTTGTCACTCAAGTCTGTATCCAGGAGCATTTAGAAGAGAAACTCTCTAGGAACATGGAAGCCAGCAGGGCTTCCCCTCCTCCCAAATCAAGAGTCAGAACGCAGTGGTCATCAGAAAAAGAGCATTATGCAATCTGGCTACCTGGCAGCTTCCACTGAGAATAAGCTACTCTGTCCTGAACACTGCCTGATCCCCTTCCACCACTTGCTTCCCCAGCCTGCTCCTAAATAACAGCCAGAACAAATCAGATCGGCGAAGGCTTAGTTTCATGTTAAACACATCTACATTTATAACATTTTACTGGAGAAGGAGAGATTAGCTCATTAGGAAAGCAAGTTCTTGTTTGATTACAACACATACCAAAAGGGCAGGGGTTCAAATATACTCAAAATACACTACACTGTGTCCTCTTGTCCAGAGTGGAACTTCAAATAAAAATCAGTGAATTCAAACATCCATTCAACAAATTCAGAAATCAGCCAGATAACAGCAATTACACAAGTCCTCTGACACACTCACAAGTCTCCAGGGTCAATGGTTCAAATCCATTTTACGATGGTGGGATATGGAGGAAGAAGGGAATTGTGCCACTGCATCTCCTGTCGTACACATACCACTGGAGGATGGAGGCAGAGCCCCCTTAACCTTCTCCAGTAATTCTAGAAGCAGCAACCAAACGCAGTAAGCAACTGATGTCTACTACTCTTTGGCCTTAATATGCCATTAAGCTTCTTCTTGATAGGAAGCTACCACACACACACACACACACACCCCTTTCAACTATTTCAGTGGAGTCTCAGCACAACGCAAAACCTTTCCCAAGGTTCTCTCCTTCACAAGCCAGCTACGCCAAGGCTAAGGCATATGGTGAGACAGCGTGAGGTTATCCACGTGGATGCATCCGGGCACTGTGCTCAGTTTATCTGACAAGAGCGAACTCAGGTTTCAGACTCTGGGTTCATTTACCTACTGCACATCACAAGCAGGCTGGTTAGCTTCTTGTTCTAACAATACACCTCCTGTTAGCAAATCAGGATTTTTCTTTATCAAACACCAGATCAAACTACTTAGGAGCAGGATGGGAGGACTACGACATCAGGACACCTGGGTTCTGCTTTGAAACCTCGGTCCCATACAAGTAATTCAGCTCAGGTTGGCATTTCCCTCTCTCTAAAGCAGGAATTGTAACCTACCCATCTTGCTTCAGTGCTTGGAAAAGCACAGATTAAAGATTTTTTTTGTTATGATTATCATAATTTATCAGCCCAAATAAAGCTACTCCCAAGCTTATCCCAGCTTCTGAGCAGCAATAAAGATCTCCCCAGCTATGTCTCTCTTTTTTTTGTTTTTTGGTTGCTCTGAAGCTTGAACAACAAAGCACTGTCACCGTTCATTTGCTAAAATTCCACTATAAGCTTCCAACAGATGCTTACATGCACTAGAATAAATCAAATACATAAAGAAATGGATGTTGAAAGGTGGCTATAGAAGATTTATAAACATCCTTCAAGGAGTCTGATGGCAGCGTTACAGCTGAGCATAAAGCATGCTAATTCGTGTTGAGAGCAGATTGATTTTCATAAGAAGCATATTCATTTCATGAGGATGATTCCAGCTGGCATTCGACCTTCTCTGCAGGTGACTTGCTATTCCTGTAGGGACAAACAAAAACCAGGAAGCCTGACCCCTGATACCCAGTATCACATTTACTCTTGGTTCACAATGATAACGGAAGCTACAGAGTATCTTTGACAAGTAGAAAAGGCTCTCTCCAGGAACTGAACTGCTGCGTTACTCCTCTGCTGCTGCAGGAAGAACAAACGCTATCATCTCAACAACTGCTCACGTTTTAGACTGGCAAAACACAAAAAATGAGAGCTTATTCATCATTATACCCAACAGAACCCTGCATCATGTTGACTGTGGTCACAAGAAAGGCTCATTATCAGCATGAAACAAAAGTAGTGGAGAAAAATACAAATATGTTGGGTTTGCAAATTAATTGGTTTGTGATTTATTTGAATCTCATCAATTTTTCCATTGCAGTGAGGTGGTGTGTAAAGCTACATCCCAATCCAAAGCCTTCCTTTGTAAGGAAGCCTGTACCTTGAATTCTTCTCCGTTTCAAAATAAGGCACGAACATCTGGACCAGATATCACATCAGTCTCACAATGCAACTGTGAGACCTCATGGCACTCCTTTTGTGGTCAGAAGTAATACTCTGGTTTGACAGACACAGGGCGAGTTGGCTCATCTGCCTTTGCCAAAGACACTTGGATACCAATGCATTTTTCAAAAACATTTCTTGGCATTTCTTTGCATCTTGACACTTCTGTGACAAGTAACCTGTGCAGACTCATGGCAGGACACCAGAGACCTGAGCTCAGCTTCCTCAACAGCTGCCAACGCACCAGTCTTTCTGACCACCACTAGCTCCTGAAACAACTATCTTGCTATTAACGCTATTCTACCATCACGCTGTTCTATTTTGCCTCATCACCTTTTGCGGGACTGATGCTACGTGCAAAACTCAACTGAAGAAGGCAGCGACTGATTACGCAGAAGCAACAAGGAAACAGCCTACATACAGAGTGCTACGTACTGAACAAGCAAAATACACTTTTATTTCACCTCAGTTTCAATCAGGTTAGGAATAGGTATTTCAGAGAGATGTGACTTTACTGTTGGTGATCTGTAGAACAGGACACATAGCACGGTGCTGGGTTTTCTTTCAGGCACAGCACATTTCACAGAGAAAAGAAATAATACAGCTCAAGTTGGCACTGCAGCGAGGACTCATTCAAAAGCCAAACTTGCATGGAAGACTGCAAGAGGGACATGACAGAGGGAAAACAGGGTGGGGGACGACTCCCAGCTCCACTGAAACGAGAAATCCTGGCCATACTGAAATCACTGGGAACTTTGCCACTGCCTGTAAGGGTGCCAGGTTTTACACCCACACACTGGAGCGCGGGTTCATCTCAGCAGGATGAGGTCTCATGCTCACCTCCACTGAGCTCCTGTAAAAGCAGACCAGAAGGAAGGGCGGTAGGATCCCACGGGTGAAATCCAGCACAGTCAGCTGGGAAGTGACCTGACTTTTTGTACAGAAAAACACGTTTTATTTTGGTTTTACCTAAATCAAAAGACTGTTACAGCTCCAAGGGCAGGGGTTTTTTTCTTCTCTGAAAACACCAGATACCAACAAACCTCAATACCCAGCCTCTGAAACAGTTAAACGCAGCTCTCTGCTGCTACTCTGTTCAGTCCTTCCAGAAGCAAATGTGTTTCTGCAAAACCACATGCTTAATAAATTGAAACACTGCTGTCTGTAGAAGACATTGCTCTGGTTTTCAGTTATCTGGCACATAGTGCCAGACATGTGATAGTGGGGAAAAAAGACAAAAAAAAAAAGAAGAAAATAAAAAAGGGGGAAGGGAGGGAAAGAGCGAAAGAGGGAGAAATCAATAGCTGTGGGCAAACTGCTACACTG